AATGTTAGAATATAAAAGTAGCTGGTCTAGAAACTGTAAGACATTCTTAATATCTTCACAGCTGATGTTTTTCTTTCATGGGAATACTTTAAAATTACTTTTTATAATTATCCAAAGAGAACAGCGTACTACTGTAAGGCCAGTTAGGAAGGCAGCATGCGGCTGGACATTTATTTGTAGCGTCTGCATGCTGAGGGTTGGTTGACGTGTGCTTTGTAGTCTGGCACTCAGAGTGTATGGGGGGGACAAAAGCAGGTTTACAGTTTTAATACAAGTAAGTAACACAATCACTAATAAGTAATAATATGAGAATAAACTGTTTTGTGTACTCACAACCGTAAACCTGCTTTTGCCCACCCCTGTATTTTCCCTTAAAACAAGATCATGAATAGTAGTTTGTTTCCCAAGTAGGATGGCTACCTATCCTGACTTGCCTGGGACTGAAACGTTTCCCAAGATGCAGGACTTTCGGCATTAAACCTTGGAAAGTCTTGGGAAAATCAGAACGATGGAGCACCCCACCAGGCCAGCACCCCAAAACTTACCTGCCTGCATCAGCCCCTACCTACTGCTGGAGCCCTACGTGAGAAGCCTGCACTGCCAGGTGCCACAGTTTTCGTATTGACTGCTGGTCACAGCACTTGGTCTCTGAGAGTCAGCTGAGTCTCCAGGCCTGAGCTGCCCTGGAGCCTGTGTGTGGGAGGGGGGTGTCTCTTCTCTGTTTGTACTCGGCTGCTTAGACCCCAATGCAGCCTATGCCTGGAACATCACTTCTCTCAAAAACGGTTTAGCTTTGTGTACTTATTCTTCTCACACTGTTACCTAAAATGAGTCCCTCATTTTCATGGTGAAGTTATCAGCCACCCTACCCACTTCATGGTCTTTACTTTTGCATCCCAACTTCCAGGACCTTCAACCTAATAGATGCTCACTCTGAGGTGAGAATCAGTGCTCACTCTCAGACACATGGCCAGTCGCCATTCCCCAGACAACCATCTCAGCATCCCAACTGGAAGCTGCCTAGGTACCTGCACAGCCCTTTTTTTTTTTTTTTTAGGGATATAACATAGTTCATAATGACCTTGAGATCAGCAAAAGAACAGCCCATTGAACTCTTGCCATTCACCAAGGTACATTTCAAATGGCATTCCCCGCTCCCTATGCACACAAGTGGAAATGATTTCAGCCTCTCCTGTTCTTCCACAGCAATTATTTTATGCTTCTATTTAAATCTCAATCATCATCTGCCTGGTATTATAGTCACTTAAGCATGTGTCTATCTCCTTCATAAATTGTTAGGTCTTTAAGAGCAGAGAAACTGCCTCACTTATCTTTATATCACTCTTAGAACTTAGCAGCGTACCTGTCACAGAGAGACTATTCAATTAATGTTTCAGGAATTGATAACATCCTTGGGACTCGAAACTCATCAGAGATGAGCTGGCTCCATTTTAACTTGGTCAATAATTCAGTCTGTTAAGAAGAATGACTATATTAAATATGTTCTGCCAACATTGCTTATTCTTACATTAAAATTCACAGACCCATTAATTTAGTAGGTTGCTATGATTTGGCAGTGATCAAAAAGATGTAGGAATCAGAATAAAAACAATTCAAATGATTCCAGGCAAACTCTGATTGGAAACTCATTTGAATAGTGCTGCTCTCTCAGAGATAATATCCACACAGTGAGCTGTTACCTTGTGAGAAGAAATGGTAAAGTGCAATTATGATATTCGACTAAAAGGTCTGCGTTTCGACTTTAATTTCCCTCACAATACCATAGTACAGCAGTCAAGTCAATACACTGAACAACTCAAGTTTCAAACTTAATTTCTTGGAAAACAAAGAATCCTAAAGTCAGGAGTAGATTGGGAATTAAAGAAATCTGTGGCTTCTAAATAAAACTGTTCATTAAAAAATTCTTTGTGTCTAATTTGCCTAAGGACAAAAACAGTTATAAGATCCAAATTACAGTTGATACAGTTGATATATTACTAATGTGATCATGGTAAGAAAGGATAAGGGTGATAATGCTAATATGACATTCTAGTAATATGGCAATACATTAACAATATAACCAGTAACAACTTGCAAGAACTCCAAAATGATCATTACACTTAAAGCCAGGCAAAAATTATTAGTGACCCAAAGACAAATCTGAAAATTTAGGCACCACAATATTGAAAGTGGAAAAAAATTCTTGATGCACTGCATACTAAAGGTAATTTAAAGTGAATGAAATTTCTGAGATATGGGAAAGAACACTCTATTCAACCAACAACTTGGAGGGCTCCAAGAACGTTAAACAAACTCCTGTAACTGTGTCAGAAATGGTGCCTGTGCTTCCTGGAAGGATCATAAAGAATCCACTGAGGTTGTCCACCAAACACTGCATTTGTTCTGAGTCCTCTGGCATCACTGTGTCATCACATCCAACTCCAAGCTGAACTGGCTCTCACTGAGCACCTACTATGTGTCAGGCTACAAAGCAGGCATCATCCCACACAATCACCATGTTCCCAGAGTTGCCAAGAGTTTCAATCCTTAAGCATTAAAACGAGTTTAAATTGATAGCTATTACTTAGCACACTAAAAAATAAGCCCAGATGACACATTCGATTAATTATGCTATTCCACTCTGATTTTAAAAAGAGAAAAAGATTCTGTGTGATTTCACACTGTGCTAATTTTTTAATAGGCAGAAGAAAAGGCAATCATTTAGTTGTGACAACATCATAAAGCTCCTACCGTGAACTGCAATAAAAGAATATTCCACTGAAACATCTTATTCAAAAGGCTGTTTTCCTTTATGATGGAAAAGGGTATGTTTGTTTAGTTCTGATGACATTGTAACTGATTCCGATGTTCTGCATGAAGAAAAAACATATTCTCTTGCTTACACAGTAATGAGTAACCATATAAGCATAATGCCTGTGTATTGGAAAGAAGGGGGTGATTTACTGTCACCATATTTACTTTCCTGTCATCAGAAGGGCCATTGAGTCTGCACATGGGCATGGCTTTGGACGGGGCATCGGTCGTCCTCACTTTACTCAGTGGGAAGCACTGGACTGGCACGGCAGTCCCAAAGCAGTGCCGGTTCCCTTCTCTGTGTCTCTGCTCCTCTGTCCTGACCCTTACGCAGACGGGGAAGGAGGCTGGGAGATGGTCAGGAAGCTCAAACATTGCAAAAGAAATAGTGAGTCCCCTCTTCTTCTGAATTAGGGAGTAGAACTGACCTTAGAACATTTCTTCTCTGAACTTATTAATTTGTCCATAAGATCATGTTTAAGAGATCTCAGGCTGAGAAGTCTAGTCCTGATTTAGCTGAATGAAGAATTCTATTCAAGGTGAAGGGGTTAGTCTGCCCCAGCAGCCAAGTCCATAAGAAGAGCAAGTGGGACTGGAGGTGGTGGGGGAGAAGGAAAGAAAGGCTGGGAGAAAAGAGGTGGGGGCTGGCTAGAGGACTTGATTTCATACCTAGTGGGGTTTTCCCTTTAGAATAGTAACCCAGTGGTCCAGGCCTAGCATATGATCAAATTCGAAGCAGAAGAATCACAACTCACTTTTAAAACACTACAGATATGTAACGCTCTCCCCTATCTGCACGTCTCCACCCACTACCTCACAGTCTTCATCTGGCCATCGGTGGTCCTCCTTCAAGCCTCGTCAGGTCCAGGAAGTATGGTCTGCCTCGTCCACTCTCCCAAGCCTGGAGTGGGTGCCCCTCCTGGATCCTGTAACAGCTCATGTAGACTTCCAGTTAAGGAAAAAGATATCTCCAACAGGGAATAACAGCTTTGAAGAACCTAAGCTGTAGCCGTGGCCCATAGAGGCTCTGGCCCCTCCGTTTCCTGTGTCCATCTGCATGCGTGGGCAGCTGCTACTCTGATTGTTTCCTGAGACCGCACTGCACTGTGAGCAAGAACACTGTGTCGGAAGGCAACATGCACTCACAAGTGCCCATTCTCTCCTTCCATCTGCTGCTGCGTGTGTGGACTGGTTCTTCCTCTCTGTGTGACTGTTTGGTAAATGGATTTGGAAGGCTGCCCCACCCAACTCACTAACGCCTGTCACTCACCCTCAGGATGCTGTGATTTGATATGGGGGCGGGGAGATATTTTAGAATCTTGGGCCCCAGTAGGGTGCCCTGACTTGGCTTAGGGCAGCCCTGAATTTGGCCTCATTGGAATCTGGCCTATCTGGCATTTCCTTCCCCATTTGGCAACTGATGCTCATACCTACATCTCCTTTGTCAGGAAACTGCAATGGGAAGGATGAGGAGAAGGAAGAATCTAACTATATCCCAAACCCCTATCACTCTCATCTTAACACATCTAATAATGCGCTATAATTATCTGTCGTCCTCATTAGATGGCAAACTGCCGGAGAAACTATTACTGGTCTTTATATCCCCAGTGCTTAGTATAACATCTGATATGTTATCAGGTGCTCAAAAGATGTTACGTGATGCGTGGATGATTGGGTGCACTTGGCCATGCTTGGACCTCCTTCGTCAGCCCAACCCCAGGCTACTCTGCCTCTGGTCCTGTCAGGCAGACAGCTGGACATTTCCTACACAAGCTGTGGCTGTCCCACCCGTGTTCAGCTCAGCTGGTCACCTCACACAGGACGTCCTCTGTTCCAACTCAATATTCATGTTCTGAACGAAGCCCTTTCAAGCTAGTTCTGCCCACAATCATTTTTTTCTAAATGTTTTTGCACAATTTAGTACTTTGTTATTCTCTAATTGTTTTAAGTGTGCCAAAGTTACAGCCTTAACTAGATTACCCATGACCTGATCTTGACTTACTTCTGTGGGACATCATCAGACAGGGTAAAATCTGTAAGTAGAGGAGCTGCTGTCCACCGCCCCCCACCCCCAACTTGAATGAGCCAGGGAAAACCACTTCATTTCCGTATCGGTAAAAATGGAACAATTAGCCACTTGAATGTGTCATGGATTGTAAAGATCAAAATAAAAACATAATGACATCTGTAAAAAACTGATGGACAATTTATTCTTCTTAGAATGTAGAATACAGTTTGGATTAGAGGAGAGCTTAACAGTGCTTATACATTTACTTGATAATGATGGCATTGCTTATAGGCATCTCATTACTAAATGCTGAACTGTTCTTACTGTCACTCAAGCGAGGATTACTGTTTGCAATGACAGGTGGGTAATCTGCTGCCTTTATTCCTATCCCAAGGAGGGTCGACAGCCTGAGAATGTTTGAGAATACTACCAGGGAACCTCTTGGAATGCACTTGTGCTATTTTAGAAAGTTTACCATTATTGTATTCCTTAACGCTAGTTCTTCTTTATCGGGGATTTCTTAGTCCGTTTGGGCTATAATGGCAAACTACTGCCAGTGGGCAACTTCACAACAGAAATGTACTGCTGAGGTTGCTCACGGCCCTGGAGGCTGCAAGTCCCGGATGACATCACAAGCAGCTTCAGTGGCTGGTAAGAGCCAGCTTCCTGGTTATGGATACCCATCTTCTCACTGTGTCTTATGTGACAAAAGAGCACTCTGGGGTCCCTTTTTATGACAGCACCAATCCCTTTCAAGTGAGCTCATGACCTAATCACCCCCAAAGAGCCCACTCCAAAATGCCATCACAGTGGGGATTAGGACTCCAACACACAGATTTGGAAGGACACATTCAATCTACAGCAAGGAATGTGTGATCCAACACAGAAATCATCAAACACTTCATCCTTATCCACTCCACTCCCCTACTCTTTCTTACTTGTAACGATATCTAAACTTGAATTTGAATGCTAGTAGACTTAGGTGGAAAGTTGGGCAGGATTTATTATTGCTGTATCACAAGTGAGGACTCAGTTCAGAGAACATGAGGGTCAGCGAACCTGGGAGCCACAGAGTCAAGGCCACAGAGCTTTGCACAGTGTGGAAGTTTAGTTCTCTTTCCGGTGAGATGAGGGGAGGAGATGAGGAGTATTAGGGCCTGAGTTATGGGTAAATTATAACCTGTTGAATGTTTAGTCTTTCAGGCATTTAGATTCAGTGGGATAAGACGTGTAATGTTTTATTTAAAACAAAATTCCCAGGTCATCTTCCAGTGGTTCATATACATTATTCCTACTTGCTCTGTTCTGTGTAACCAAGAGTTCTGTTTATGGTGATGAATACTTTAGCACACCTCTGCTTCCAAACGAACCTTTAAGTCACCTTTCTTTGCATAATACTACACTTCAATAAAGAAAAGCTCCAATATACTAAGTTAATAAAGAAGTTTGATCTTGTGTGATAATAAATTCTGACTTACTAAACATTTTACGCTTTTAAAAATGCTTTTCTTTGCTTTTAAAATATATATTGGTATTTATGTTAAAGCACAAACAAAACTAAGGATAACTTTAGGAAAATTACAGAGTAGTTTTATCTTAGTTTCATTGAAAGAAATTGTGCTTTGTAGAAACATTGACTTCACTGGCTGAAAAAACATGAGTTTTTTGTGTAGAGGGCATTTTCTATACTACAAGGGTTCTGAGTCATGATGTACATGGGGTTTTTGTAAGCGGTTTCAAGACCTCACATAAAAATATGTGTGCATATTTATACAGTGTAGTAGCAAGTACAGATACAGGGTGATGGCCATTTTCTTTGATTTAGAAATTACAAGTAAGAAGCTAATAACGTTAATTTTAAACTAAGCCCATGCAAGTGAGTACATGAAGGAGGCAGTTTAATAACCGTTGGCTAAACTGATTAATATACTGCACGTTGGGTGAGAAGACAATCATCCTACTCAGTGTGTTTCTGCTTATGACTCAAATTCTAAGAGTACTGGCCTGAGGAACTGTGTACACCTGAGATGTCTGCTACGGTAACTGCTGGAAACGTGGAGATTTAAATTAAAATGTGCTAGCATTTAAAATTCAGCTCCTTATTTGCACTAGCTACATTCAAATGCTCAAAAGCTACATGTGGCTAATGGCGGCCGTATTAAACAGGGGAGATGTAAGACATGTTGCAGAAAGTTCTGGTGGGCAGCAATCCTTTCTGCTGACAGCACAGGCTAATGAGGTTAACAAGGGGTCCCTGTGAAGGAGAAGGAAAATTCATCAGACTGTCCCGAATTAGCATGCCCCTGCCCGACGTTTCCAAATCCTTCTGTTGTCACACATATGTGCACACACAGAGCTGAGTCTTGGTCATCATAAATCATCACGTCTTCACATCTTCCATAGCCACTTTTTAAAAAGTCCTTACCCAAGAACATCCTCATTGATTTTAGAGAGAGGAGAAGGGGGAAAGAAGGAGGGGACAGGGGGATGAGGGGAGAGAGACAGAGAGAGAGAGAGAAACATCAATGTGAGAGAAACAAAGATCAGCTGCCTCCCCTATGTGCCCCAACTGGGAATGGAACCTGCGACCTAGGTATATGCCCAGACCAGAAATCGAACCCGAGAACTACTGGCGCACTGGACGATGCTCCAACCAGCTGAGCCACCCAGCTGGGCAGCCACTGCTTTAATATTGGTGAAACAAGCCTTGAATCTGCTACCTGAGGAAGGCTGTGATTTCATGAATAACTAAAATAATTCTCAGTGTCACAACATCAGATTTCTCATTGAGGAGCACACACTTTTGAATGCATGTTACTTTATTGAAATGCACATATATACAATGACGACGAAGGAGAACTCTGCAGAGTTGAGTACAGTGGCTGCATGCATTGGGAGAACAGGCAGACTCTAGTTTTACAGAATGAAAGAGGGGTTGAAAAGTAGGCAAAGACCGGAGAGCAACTTTCACTTCCCATCACCACATAGAAGGGTCTTCCAGCCTGTCAAACATAAGAAGCACAGCAAGTAAGAGAAACTGCCCAGCTTCCTGGGAAGCTTGCAAGACCGAGCCATTCCATTCTGAACTGAAAGGTGGTCAGAAACGGTTGAAAAGGCTCCAGGCAGCATTCTGAATGGGAGACAGTGTAGGATGTCAGAGCAGGAGACAGTGGCACAATGTGCAAAGCAGCTTTCACTCGTGGTAACAGGAGTCTCAGGCAAATCTCAGAGGGACTGTTTAAAAGGCTCTGTATTTACCAAAGAAGCCAAAGAACTCTGAAATATTTCTGAAGATCAAAACTACACAAATCACACGAAACTATAACAAGAAAGTTATTGTTGCTCAACTCTGAATATGCTTCCTTTCTTTCCTGCAAAGCTTGCTGTGCTATTTATTGGACCATAAAGAACCCTTTTTTAATAAAATAGCATTCATGGGCAACTTCAAGCCTGTTAAGTTTTGTTTCCTTCTAATTGCACTTGATTGTCAATCAGCGCGCGATTAACTTTATTTCATGCACTAACCGTGCAACTTCGGGCCACAAAACAAACAGCAGAGAGGTTGAAAGTAGGTCTGGATGGTTCTTTTTTGTAACCTAAGTAGACACAGCTTCCCTAAACTTTTTACTGTAGCAAACATGTCCATAAAATATGAAACAGCATTACTTGGTTAGTATGTAGAAACAGTCCTTTTAAATTTTCCATCTGCTTCCCTTGCATTTCTAATTACATTTGTTGGGGTGGCATTGGTTAATAAAGTACAGATTTCAGGTGTACAGTTCTACAACACATCATCTGTATATTGTATTGTGTGTTCACCACTCCTGCTTCCCTTGCATTTGCCGTTAAGTCTGGCTGGTCCCTCAGAGGTTGGGGGGGGGGGGGCTGCCCCAGGAGCAAGAGCACTGGGGTTTCGCTCCAGTCCCATCGCTGTTTCCCTCAGAGAAAACAAGCCTGACTCCTCCAGAGTCTCACCTTCGCCCTGGCTGCCCATGGCACCAGAGAACAGAGGGAGGGTTGGAGGGAAGGTGATCGGTGGCTCATTGGGTCACCTGCTTTATTTTTTAACTTTTTACTTATGTATTTTTAATTTTATTAAATGTATTGGGATGACACTGGTTCATAGGGTCATACAGGTTTCAGGTGTACATTTCTGGTGATAAGCCAGTCATCTGATTTAACTGCTGAAGAGAACCCCAAGGAGGGTGACAGGACAGTCACATGCACCCAGCAGGTGTTCTAGTGACCTCTTCTGGGGAACTCGGTTCTTGCCATGTTGTGTTCAGGGAGACAAGCTACCACAGAAATGGGGGCACCACGTGCCATGGGATCTTACTGGCAGGGAGAAGCAGGCGGCAGGGGACAAAAGAGCCAGTTATGAGAACCGAGGACCGAGCTCCTTTTCAGCGGAACTCCTGGTACAGGAGGCACCAGAGCGTCCTGGCCCAATGTTTGACCCTGAGCCATCGGTGGGCACCTCTTTCCAAAACAGTCCGCACTCCAAGAAAGCCCGGAGGCTGCAGTAAACCCCTAAGAACAATTCATTGTTCATTCTGTCACGGAGGGCAATAAATTACGGCGTGACATCAGTTGAACTAAAATATGTTAAAAAGTAAACGAGCTCTCCCTCATTTTTCTAGAGTGTCATGTAAAACCAGAGAGACTGGAAAAAGACTCCTGAGGGACACACGCTAGGAGGCACAGACACTCCACACAGTGCATAAAACTGAAGATACCCCGGCCACAGTGGGACGGCTGGCCGTTTTACCAGAGACATGGGGGTCACTCTGGGCTCCCTAATGCCAACGCAGCAGAAATTCTACATAGAGTAATTCCCTGGGGTCAAAGTCACTTACATTTGAACTTTTCCAAGGAGCACCACAAAATCTGCAGTAGAAATATTATCCCACAGAAGTTTAGAGATTCACAAATGACTACATCAAAAGAGAAGTCCTCCCGACCCTGTTCCCCACTGGCTTTTCTCTCCAAATCCTACCTGCTCTGGAACGCCTCTCCCCCCAGGCAGCCCTCTCAGGTTTCCCTCCCCGGCACCTTGAGCTTCGAAACAATGTCCTCACACAAGCTTTTTCGTACCTAGTTCTGGGAATGTTTTCCGTGCTTTCTCTCATCAAGAGGTCTGAAATCAGTGTCTCAGGGCTGGATCGTTTTCCGTATCTAACAATAAAAAAAAGGAAAAGTTCTCTAAAGAAAGTTTAGAATATTCATAAAAATCTTTAGAATAAAAGAAGATAGTCTCCCATTTGAGGTATGACATCTGAAAGTTATTTTCAGTTGATCATCTGCTAACAATGTATCTAGGTATTGAAAGCATATATTATCAAAAACATCATAAATATGATTTCAAATCAAATATTTATAATTTTGTTAAATATTAAATAACATATTTAAACCCAACCAAAAATCCAAATACTTGTATTTTTGTACCATACATAATACACATGTAGATGTATTTATATAACTAGGTACCAGGATACACAAATATACCAGGGTATGATTTTAATGTTTCCATAATTAGTTAATTGGCTATAGTTCTGATGACACACAGTTTAAATCTTAACAAAGAGACCAGATGACATTTCAGAAACATCCCTGGGGCGGAACCATTGGTGACTGAAGTTCAAGACCCACCTGTGTCTTTCAATCTCAGTTTTCTCACTTGTAAAAAACAAAATTATATCCTATGCTTCAGTCGGAGTCTTGGAGAAAAGTCAGCGTGAGTCATGATGCTGTGAAAGCGACAGAGTGATGCACAAATGCCGGTCACCACTGCCGAAATCGCCCATTCTTACAGAGCAGCGGAGCCCGGGGCCTGTGCTATTCATACTCATTTGGGGCACGAGAAGCTAAAAGCCTTCTCTCATGCTGTGATTTTATTTTTTTTTCCAATAATTTTATTTAGTTATTTTTCAAGTACAGTTTTTGTCCATTTTTCCCATCCCAGCCCCCGCCATGCTCCCCACCTCCCTCCCATTTCCACCCCCCTTAGTTCTTGCCCCTGTGTCCTTCATACTTGTTCCTCCAAATCCCTCCCCTTTTCCCCCCTTAAATTCCCTTCCCTCTCATGCTGTGATTTTAATCTGCCCTGTAAATATTAAAGAAATCCTCCCAGTCCATAAAAAGGTTTCTGGTCTTTTCGTCCTGCTGTTGGACATGAATAGACAATATGAGAATGCAAGGCTCTGCTTTCCTGCCAGAATGGCGTCCATTTTCTGCTCCAGGTGAGTGAGTACACAGATCCACGCCGCCCTCCCTCCCTCCTCTCACTGCCGAAGAGTCCAACAAGTGTATGGCAACAAGTTGCATTTTTTGAAGAAGCTGATTCCCCCATTTTCGAAAAAGGCATTGGACACCAGCAGTCACTTTGCTCACAAACGAAAAATTAGTCTGGTGTGGACTGATTAGCTAATAGGTAATTAGCTAAGAGATAAAACAGGACCAAAGCTGTCTGGGTGTACTCTAACTGCCTGCAAAGCACAATTAAATATAAATTTAGGGGGAAATTTTCCTATTATTGCTCCTTTCCTGGGCCTCGAGGGGCAAAAAAAAAAAGCAAAGCACACTCCCCTGACCCCATGATTTGTAAGGTTTGCTCAAAGATTCTCTGCAGTTGTGATGTCAGACTGCAGGCTGCCACTTATACTTACTTATTCCGTCCATCAGCTGATTTTACTAATCTTAAAACTCTTGGGCAGAGTTTATTGTCATCATGCTCTAGGGAATGAAAGAACTGGCCGATGTTCTTACAATTTACCAGGTAAAGACACTTAATCTGTAATAGCAGGATTTGCACAGGACAGCAGTGTCCATTATTTGTCCTTCTTTACTTTATTCTGGAGTATCCTTTCTCTCTACAATGCTTTAACTTGCAAAGACAAAGTCTGTAGGGGAAAAAAAAAATCCCAACCCTGGCTGCACATTAGAGTCACCTGGAGAGCTTTTTACAACCAATATGCAGTCCAAGCCCCACTGCCACCTCACCCCCAGGTTCTGATTTAACTGGTTTGGGGTGTGGCCCAGCATCAGTCTACTTTTTATAAATTCCCCAGGGGATCCCAATGTGCAACCAGGATGGGAAAATCACTCATTAATCTAGGACTGGGTTTCTCAACCTCAGCACTATGGCCATTTTGGCACTGGATAATTCTTTGTTGTGGGAAGCTGTCCGAGGCATAATGGGATGGTTAGCAGCACCCCTGGCCTCTACCCATTAGATGCCAGTACACCACCCCTCACTGTGACAACCAAAACTGTCTCCAGATGTTGCCAAATATCCTGCGGAGCAAAAAGTCAGCCTGAGTTGAGGACCACTGATCTAGCAAAATATGGTAGATCCATGCTCTAGAAAAAACAATGTAGCTTTCAGAATGAGTGAACCAGGGCATACAGCTTACAAACATGGACTGTGTTGAAAAGGCAAGGAAAGAGAACATTTATGACAAAGCCAAACATACTCACAAATGACACTGGAATTTTCAAAAATACCAACATGTGCATTATGAGCCATGTGTGTGGTGAGAAGGCAAAGAACACAGAGAATGGAGATTACTGGTGCAGACCATAAACCTCTGATGGGTTCTAAGGAAGAATCTACATGAAGATGAGATGGAAAACTGGGCTCTCGGACTAACACACTTTCACTGACCCTGAGTCTCTTCCCATGAAACTCAAGGCCCTTTCCCTTGTTCCTTCCTCATCAAAGATGCTGGAGACCACACTGACTGCTGATGGTGCTGACGATTCCCAGGAAAATCAGCAGGAGGGCTCCGATCTCATCCCCCTTAAAAAGGTTTCATGAACTATTCTTACTTTCATGATCTTTCAAATGGAGATAACTATACTCACTCCAAAGCTCTGAGGTCAAGACTGTACAAAATTGTGCCTAGAAAAACATTTTGAAATGCTAAAGCTTTATCTCCTGTAATGGTAGAGCTTTATAGCAACTCTGCAAAAGTCAGTCCTTTGGTCTGTAAGACAGCATAAGAAGAATTAGAAGCAAGTAAGTTTCTGAGGATCTATTAGAATATAAAACAGTGCTGTTTTTTACAAATTAATTATTATCGGGTTTTAGGGATCATAAACCGATACTATTTAAATTTTGGCATTTCGTGTATTTTAAATTCTATGTAAATTGAGACTTTTGAAAAAACTCACAGTTAAAGAACTTTTTGACAAAACATTTAAAAAATAAAACCTTATTTAAGAAATAGAAATTCTCTCGCATCCTTTCCAACTATTCCCTGTCTTGTAAACAGTAAATATATGGTAAAAACAAAAGACAAGCCTTTAGAAAACACAATTTAAACATGTTAAATAACATTCATGCTTTTAAAGGGTTGTTTTTACCTTATTAAGGTCATTTGTTCTCAAGAATCAAAATAAGATACTGAATGATTTAGAACTAAGATGAACCAATTTTGGAAACAAATTTTAAATCCTATGTTATTTATAAAATTGATTAAATTTGATTTTTTTGCTTAATATTTGATTTTGAGAATGAAAATGTAGAATTTTATTTTAGCTTCCTGTGGGTCCGGAACGAGGTTTACAATTTCTCAAATTCCACGTACTGTCTAGATTCGTCCTGGAGTGACTAGACCAATGTAAGTTTCTAACTAACGCAGCACCAAGAAGGCACTTTCTTTTCAGAACTCTCCTGTTACAAGATAGGAAAGACTGCATTTCAGATCAGCTGTTTTTTGCTAAATCTCTATTCATTTGGGACAGGATTTTCAAGTAAAGGTCTGAGACTGGAAGAAAAAAAACAACAACAACATTGTCTAGAAGAAAAAAAAAGCTCAAATTGTCTTTTCCTAAACACTGTCATCCCATTTGCACTACCTGGCAGTATCTTTAGCAGCCCAGCCATCTCCTCCTTGGTTTTTGTTAGTTTTCCCTGGACACTGTGCCCTCTGTTTTCCCCGCAGTCCTTTCCTGGGGGTGCTGCTGACCCCTTTCACAGGGTGCTTTCCCATCCCAGTGTCCAAACAGTCCCCCAACTGCTCCAAGACAAAGAAGACAAAGGGATGGGTGGGAGGAGATGCCAGCCACACCTCCCGAGAACTTGAATCTGCGAGTCTGGATTTTCTGCTGCCATTACAGCGGGAAAGTACTCAGTGCCTTGCACGAACATAACTGGAAGCTGAGTAAGTCCCAATACTGTCCTGCCCCGGGATAAAGGAAAAGAAGTAGCCCCTGTCCCCTCCGAGACCCCCAGATCTCTGGGCAAGCAGGCAAGACAGGAGCTCCTGAAGTAGGTCCCTCCAAGCCCACGCACCTCTGCCTGGTGATGAGGTTGATGTAGTGCCGCAGCGCAGAGTAGTATCTGGCCAGGTCCTCCGCAGATGCGTTCTCTCCCGGGTTTTCGGGTTTGGAGGGGTATGCCTCGGCCAGCGCGCCGAGGCACACGAGCAGGGACAGGGCGAGGGTCAGTCCTGACAGCCCCAGTCGCTTGCTCCGCAGCATCTGAGGGCACCAAAGGCACAGGGGAGAGGGCTTGACGGTTTAGAGGACACATGCCCCGCACCTCCCTCCTTTGCCTCCTGAAGCCCACCCATCCCCCTGCTACCACCGAGGACCCCCGAATCTGTGCTCAACCCAGTGATCCGGAGAGGAGCGGAGCGTGACAGGCACTCCCCCACCCGGGGGGACTTTGGGCACAGTCTGCGCTGGCCCGGCTGCTCTGCTCCACCTGAAAACTCCGTGCAACTTTGGTCCAAATCACAGGGCCCAGAATCGCTTGGGGAGGGGGGCACAGAGGGGGTGAGTGAGGGGGCACCAGTTGGGAGTTCTTCCTGCCTGGTTGAGGAACATCACTTTCCTACCATCTTCCCCAGAATCCATGTCAAAGAAGGAAAGTTTCCTCTCTGATACTTTTGGTCTGCACGGCTGCAGGAGCGTGAATGAAGGCTGAATGCTGAGAGCACTTCAGGGTGGCAATTTGGGAGAGAGGGAAGAGAACTGCTGCCCCAGCCAGTCAGTCTCCTGTCGGATCCCAGGCTGGACACGCTGGGTGTCCGAGCTCCAAGGGCTCCTCACTGAGGGAGACCTCCCAGCAACCCGAGAACCCGGAGGACACTGCCAGCTGCTCTGGGGTGGGGGGTGTTTGCTCCCTCCCCTTCCTCCCAACAACAACCCAGAGAACCGCCCAGCCGGGAGGGTCTGGAAGATGGGTGACTATACAATCAGAGGGGTCCAGAAGAGGCCGGTGGACTTTAGTCGCCCACAGCAGCTGAAGCGCATGGGGCAGGGAGGGGACCTCGCATGGCGCCCAGGGGCTAGGGAGCAGGGCATGACCCGCCCAGTGCCCCGGGGCTCCGCACAGGGCGAGTCATGCCCTGCTCCCCAGTTGATGCAGGTCCCCAGCATCAACGCCCCCCTTGGGTCCGGTCAAGCCCAGAGGGAAGTGGAACTCACGGTGGTGGTGGTGGCAGTGGCGGTGGCGGGCGTGGCTGGGCGGTGAAAGCTCTGTCCGGAGCGCCTCTCCCAGGGGTGAGAGCCGGTGAACGATCTGAGTGGAGAGCGGGTTGCAACAGGGCTTTTATGGTGTTCCTTGCAGAAGCAGGAGGGGCCTTGGACAATCACGCTCTGGTGACTCCCACCCTCTGCTTCCCGCCCCCAGTGTGGGAGGGGGAGGGATGGAACCACAGCCGCACGAGTGTCTCTGCGGGAACCACCCACACCTAACTCTCCCACCCCAGGCCCTGTCCCCTGTGAAAGGGGCCTGGCTCTGGGTGAGCAAGGCTGCGCCTTCCCCAAGCGATGGACAGCGCCAAAGCCCAGTGCCTGCCCTCCAGCAGGCCCCAAGCACACTTCCCTCACCTGCCAGGGTTGGAAGCAGGTCAGATCATTTTTGTCACTTGTCACCAGGACCACCAGCTCGCTGGGTGCCAGGATAGGGTGCACCTAAACTCTCTACTTAGTGGGGCATCTCTGGGACCCCAGCAGCAACTGCACCAGGCACAATTCCTGAGCACCTTTGGGGTAGGACAACTTGGTGCACAAATTTTCCTGAGCTTAAGTCAGGTGGGAGGCGCCTGCCCCGAGTCCCAAGTGAGAGGGTCCTCGCCCCCTCACCCCAGGCTGAGGAGGGATACTGTGGCTTCGGCCCCTCTCTCTGGCTGGTTTTGCAGATGTATCAGCCCTTCCCGAGTATGCCCCCAAAGGTCCCAAAGGCAGAACCTGTAAGTGTGGAGAGAGAAAATTCTGAGTGAGGCAGCACATGGTGGGTAGACTCACTTCTTGGTTTGGTGGGAAAGAGCCATGTCTCAAGCTTCAAGAAACCCTAAAAGCCCAATCAAAAAATATTTTGGTCCCAAGGGACAAGTAGTTTAAAAGAACAGCAATTTCTCTTGCCCTTGGTGATAGAAATAAAACAGGTAAAAAAAAAAAAGAAAAAGATCATTACAGGTTCAGAATTTTATGTAGTGGACTACATCTTTAATTTCCCTGAACACTCCGAGGAGTATGGATCTTTCTAAATAAAATGGCATATTAGGATATTAAAGTGTTAAGTCACATGTTATTCTAATGTTAAAATGACAAGTGATTCTGTTAAACAGAGACATTTTGTTTCTGTGCTGTTTTGATAGAATTAACTTAAATACCAACTGCTATGTAGCAAGCAATCCTGTTGTGCATTAGAGGTTTTGAAGACCAACATCCCCTTCACTTAGCTGAATGCTTCTTCTTCCACATTAAATAAACATATGCTGGAAAAAGAAACTGGGCTCTCAGCGTTGCTCAGGGGTGCTTATCTGGGAGAGTCTTTGGTATAGAGCAGGATACCTTTTAACTTAGAGTCCCTTTCTTGACAAGGAACAGAGCACAGTCCACTTTTCCATCATCTTATTTTTAGATTACATCACAGTTACTTCTGCTGAAACCCAGACTTAGAAGTATAACCCCCCCTCCATTCTCTGTTAAAAGTGTCTTTGTAAAAGATGAGCTGTTAAGTAATATGCAACCTGTAGATACAGAGCATATTTGTGTAGAAGTTCCAAGAACTAACTTCAAAGGGGGCTGACTCCAGAGACCCCACGGCCCTGCTCTGAGAGACTTGCTAACCTGCAACCACAAACAGTAGGCTTTCGCTGGACCAGTTTCAAGACAGTCGTTGGAAGAGACTGTGCTGACTTACATGTACAGAGCTTTCAACTCCCCTGCCCCTGATTTTGAGGATGGGCAGTCAATTCCAAACAATCCTTCCCTGGATTGTTTGTCAAATTCTTGGGCGTTGTTTGGTTGGGTAAGACAAAGGTGACGCCTGCTGCCATGATAGATAAGATTCAGGCTTTCCCCATCCCACAGAAGCCAAAGCAATTATAAAAATTTTGATTGTTGTTGGGGGTAATGGCGGGTTTTTATACCATGTTTAGCTATTGTATGCCCTTTATCACCTCACCCACAAAGGAGCAACCTGGGATTGCAGGGAAGAGGTCTTTGAGGCTCCTAAGCAAGTAGTAAAGACTGTACAAGCACTGGAGGTCATAGATTAATCTCAGGTTTGTGATTTAGATGTCCACATCACCCCTGAAGCCAATACCTGAGTCATCTGGCAATGGCAAGGGTGCACACCAAGGTGCCAACTGGCTTCTGCTCCCAGCTCTGGAAGAGGGTAGAGGCTTGATACGGCCCCAAAGAACGAGTGAATGCTGTTTACCAAGTTCTCCTGGCTACCAAAGCCATTACTGGACCAGCTGAGGTTTGAGTACATACTACCTATTCCATTGCTGGTGGGTACAGGACCTTGTAAACCGACCCAAGAGCTCAGTAGCACAGACGGATGCTCTGACTAAATTGAGTGCATATCTCCAGCAGAGAGGCAAACTAGCAATGAGCCCTATGAGCCAAGAACTGCAACAGCTCCTGAGCCTGGTTACTTATCAGGATGTGAGCATGGAGGTCCCTGATCCTGTTCCCATTCCTAGGCCTACTATTAAAAAAGGGACAAGCCCCTGTGCCTGAAGATGCTTGGTACACTGAGGTTACTGCCAGGGCCAGCCACCCACATGGAAGGTGGCAGCTTATCATCCCAGCATGGACAGCATGTGGATGGAAGATGGCTCAGGACAAAGAAGTCAATGGGCCGAGCCGAGAGTTGTCTGCATAGTCATAACCCAAGAACCTGGACCAGCGACCATCTGCACAGACAGCTGGGCAGAATACAGAGGACTGACCTGTGGCTGCTCCACTGGCAGCAAGATGATTGCCAAATAGCCTGAAAACCCCTGTCTGTGGGTGCAGGAAATATGGAAGGATACTGGCATGCTTCTGCTGGCTGGAAGAGGCTCCAGCAGAAGACACAGCCAATTAGCTCCAATGAAAGATGTGCCATGTGTGAAAGAAGACTTTCAGGTGTCCAACCTTTTGGCCTTTCTGGGCCACAATGGAAGAAGAGGAGTTGTCTTGGGCTATACATTAAACATAAAAACTCTAAGAAAAACTGGTGAGCAAAAAAAAAAAAAAAAAGGTTTTAAGTGAATTTACAATTTTCTGTTGGGCCTCATTCATAGCCGAACTGCACTGCATGCAGCCTGCGGGTGGCAGGTTGGACACCCCTGCTGGGAAGCGGTAAAAGCTTGGAGTCTACCACTCTGTTACTCTGATGTAATCATGACCTGTCAGCAATGCACCATCTGTGGAGAGAAGCACCCTTGCTAGCTGCCCCAAGGTACAGGTTGCCTGCGATAAGGAGACATCCCGCTGGCCTGTCGGAAGGTTGACTACATCGGCCACCTACCACCATCCAAAGGCTCACGCTACACTTTGACATCATGGACACAACCATTGGTTTACTGCTGCAGGCCCATGCAAGTGGACCACACGACCAGCCACATTCCAAGGTCCAAAGCAGCTCTATGCTGCCTATGAGGCACTGGACATCATCAAAAGTGAACAAGGCCATTTCACAGGACATCAGGTACAACAAAGGGCAGAAGCTCTCAATATAGATTGGAGATTCTATCTACCATACTTCCCACTGGAGGCCTCATTGGAAGGTACAATGGCCTCTTGAAAGATGACCTGAAGACTGACTCGAGCTCATTTCAAGGGTGGACAACCCACCTTTCTGATTGCCTGTGACGCTTGGGCAGCACCTATCACCTGCAGTTAAGTACACAGGAGCCTGTACTATGCCCTGGGCTGGGACAACAAAATAATGTGCTCTTGCTAGTGCCCCAAGATATATCCCCAGGGAAAAGCACCTCGCCTGGCCCTGGCAGGTGCAGGTAGAGTCCCACTGGTGTTCCTTGGTAGCTCCTTGGGGGGAGGGACTTGTCATGGGGTTGTAGCTGGCAGCCATGATAAAGGCCCCTGGGCTTACCCATGTTTGTTACCACACACAGCAGACCTCAATTCTTAAGGAAATCTACATAGCCTCAGTCTGGCAAGTACACATACCTGCCTTGGCCCTTTGATTGCAGGGGGCCCTGAGCCTAGGGCCAGATAGGGGCCATGGTACAAACAGCAAGGGCATCCACTGGTCAGTGTACTCATATTAACCAGAGACTGGACTGTGGCATGTGTATTGCCAGACCACCAAGATCTACCTTTATTGGTTCCTATTAAACATCTCTCGTATCACCCTTAGACTCTGTTCTGGAAACTCCTTTCTACAGTAGGACTGTATGCTAGCAGCTGTCAGCAGCTGTTCTGATTGTTGGGTCTCCAATGAATTTCTCACTGCTGCCCCCACTGGCCTACCATGGAGGATCCACCCTGCAAACCAGAGACACTGGGACTGGCTGCAAGGCTGGAAAGCTCCTGATAGAGGTGCAAAAACCTGTGCCCACATGTACTGAACACAGATACTGTACTATAAATGAGACGAGACTGTTCAGTTTGTGGGGTCGATGCTGGCAGCCCTGTGCAAAAACATAACGGTAATGACTGCTACAGACCACTGGGGGCGGTGTACTATTGGGATACAGGCCCATCCCATCCCATGGGGAGCCCTGTGGGCTTGTGGTCAATATGGTTGCCCTTACCTCCCATTTAATTGGACTGGGCATTGGACCTGGGGAGAAGGATGCATCCCAGGCCAACTGTTAAATACTCTTCCAAGTGTTCATTGAAATTAGGACTCTTTTTGGGCACACTATCAAGTTAAGCACTCTGACTGGTGGTTCTACCATCTAGCCATTTTTGTGGCCCCTTCAGGTACTATTCTAACCCAATAAGCTGTTAAGGCCCTAGACAATCACAGTGCAATGGCCCTTAGTCACACCAGATACACCATAGCCCTGGTTTCTGATGAGATTAGCTCAAATGAGGAAAGTTGTGCTGCAGAATAGAATGGCATTGCTCACTGCTGCCCAGGGGGCACCTGTGCCATTCTGCACATGGAGTGTTGCATATATATCCCTGATAATTCTCAGTGTATCCCAGGCCTTAACTGCCCTAGGAGTTGAGGGCATAGCCTCTGACCCCTTTACAATTTGGTGGAATTCTCTAGGTTCCTGGTGGCACTCCCTTCTCCTAGGTCTCTTTGGGTTTTATCTCACATTGTTGGTTTGG